CATGCAATCGGCGTTAGCACCTGCCTCCTGGGATTCAGTGGAGCCCCACTGTTAGCGGAATATGTTATTAGCAATTTTCCATATACAAACAGAATTTCTCTTTTCGTGGTCCTTCATGACGAGCATTTCTCACTCCGAAAGCGAGTCCTGGAAGCAGACAGGGGACGGTTTACATATCGGATTTTCTTATATTCGTCTTCCTTTCCCTCGCCTCGTATCCAGGCAGCAGTGCTTGTAGGTTCATCCTCAAAGTGAGGGAAAAAATCGAAATTGCTAGGATAAGAAAAGCAGCAACAGGATCGCTGGAGAAAGAAAACACCACAGAAAGAACAGCCCCGTTTTTGCCCTTGTCCTCATACTTTCGAGCTTTTATACCTCAAAAAATAGGCAGTTACTAAAACCTGCTTGGACCTGCTTCAGGTTTCGATTTGCGATAATTGGGAGTCGAGTTGTGATGATTGAGGAACGGTAATAAGGGGCGGGGACGGAGAGGAGATGGGTGGGGTCGGGGTGGTAGTTCAATTCTCAGAGACCGTAAGAGAGAGGGGGCGGGGCTACTGACTGAAAAGACCTCCGTTGGGGGTAGGCACTAAAGGTGGGCGGGATTTATGAGGGAGGAAGTACCCGATGGGTTTTTTTCTGTGCTCAGCATGAAAACGTTGAAAAAAAATCGCCGCTCAATATGCACTCATTTTTGGGTGCGAGTTCGAGTAGTGGATATTGTGGCGTTTCTTTGTCTAGGCAAGGCTCCAGGCGTCGCGATTAAGTTCACCAGCTTCCTCCCCGCACTAAGTTTCTTGCTGAGCACAACCTCACAGGGCCCCCCTTCCCTCCCCCACCTCACTCTCCCGGTTACGACTGTCAAAGCTCAAACCCCGAACTCGCACTACTTCTTCCGCTGCCCCTTCCCTGTCCCTTTACAACACGGGTGGGGAGTCGGCCCACGGAGGGAGTCGGAATGTGGTGCCTAACTAGGCGAACAGGGTTCGCATTCCGCCACATCTCTGCACTCTTATGAAAATAAATAAAACTAAAATATGCACGAGGCTA